AACAAACCAGTGATTTTTTTAAAAATTTATTTCACTCAGAAATTACTAAATACATTTAAGCTCAGTTTATATAAGAATGTTTATATAAGAATATGAAAACAGTTGTTTCTTATGATTTAAGTACACATTGTTTCTATGACTACTAATTGCAGAATATGAAGAGCAATACTGCAGCATCGTGTTATGAAGCAATGACGTCCATCATTAATATAATTTGTACTTTCTTATTAAGAACGTCCTCGTTTTTGAGCAAATTTACCAATGTGTTGTCAAGAACCATACGAATGTGACACATAAAGTTAGCTATGTCTGGTTTATTTCTATATGCCGAAAAGTCTTCCTCAAGATAAGTTTGTTTGTTGTTAAGTACAAAGCTACACAACGGGCTATCTGTGCTCTAACCCCCGCGGTAATAAGCCCTCAGACTCACCACTGAGCCACTGCAAATCGATGATGTGTAAAGAAGGCTTTTCCATGTTGTTTTTTTTTATCTCTGTTACTTATTGACCGCGGAGAAAAATAACAAAGTAGACTTTATCTGTTTTATTAACGTTTTCCTCAGACACTTTACTGGAAAATTGTTGTTGTCTTTTGTCGAGAAAAAAAAAGAAATTGAGATTTACAAATGTCTTATAATGACCTGGAGGACCTAATCAATTTTTCTTCTTTGTTTTCCAGAGAAAATAATAACTTTAACATTGTACTAGAATTTCTAATAATACCTTCTAGCGATTTTACGTTTACCATTGGTTATCTCATTTCCCATCGATTATAACGATACAATATAAAAATAAAATAGAAGATACAAAACAAAGAAAGAAGAACCCCTAATCTCATGATTTACCTCCTACTTCCTTCGCCCGACATGGCTAGGTGGTTAGGGCGTTCGATTCGCAATCTGCGTGTCGCGGGATCGAATCCCCGTCCCACCAAACATGCTCGCCCTTTCAGCCGTGAGGACGTTATAATGTGATGGTCAATCCCACTATTCGTTGGTAAAAGAGTAGCCCAAGAGTTGGAGGTGGGTGATGATGACTAGCTGAATTCCCTCTAGTCTTACACTGCTAAATTAGGGACGTGTAGCTTTGCGCAAAATTCAAAACAAACAAATATATTTCCTTTAAATATCTCTTTATATTTAAAATTTATAAAAACTAATCTTTACAATACGATATTATGCGTTTGTAACAGAACATTATTATTGGGGTGTGTGCAGTTATGCCCAAAGCTCTATCTGTGTTCTGCCAACCACGGTATCGAAACCCGGTTTCTAACGTTGTAAGCCCGCAGACATACCGCTGTGCCACTAGCGGAAGGGCAGAATATTATTAACCAAAATATCAAATTATTTAATCGAGATAGATTGATATAATGATATAATTAGTATCCATTAATTGTCGCCTTGTTGTTAACTTTTAAAACAAAAATCAGTATATTCTAAAATAAAATTTAAATCCACAATAATGGAATAATATCAAATCGATATGCATACACGTTTCGATCTTTTAACGCGTCCTCTTCAGTCTAATGTTTATCTAAAAAGAACACGCAGAAGTGTAGAAATGTGTATCCTTATAAATTTAGTATTGTTCAGTGTTACGTATTGCGAATTTAAAATAGTCCGAAACGGATATTTGAGTTAATTTACGCTATTTGCCAACAAGATTGACACACAAATACGTTTTAATATATATACAACAGTAGAATTTACAACAACAATTATTACGAATAGTTATCACAAACAAAGTTTAATAAACAACAATGTCACTAACTTACAAACAACACGCCCCCTAGGGGCACAGCGGTATGTTTGCGGACTTACAACGCTAGAAACCGGGTTTCGATACCCATGGTGGTCAGAGCACAGATAGCCCAT